TAATTGACATTTAAGTGTGAATAACTGCTAGATTTAATCCCTCCAGGTGAAAGTACATTTATTTTAAAGTACTTATTTATCTAATGACTTTCTTTGGTGGAATGTGAAGGGAAATATATTTCTTAAATGGAGAAGCCCTTTTCCACCCTTTGCCTACTTCCAGCTGGGTCTTTCTCCTTTATACCCTCTTAAAATGGAGAATCTTTGTCTCTATGTTCTTGAAGGGTCACAGGGAACCAGGGTAGGCTGTGAGTGATTTGGTAAAATTGATTGGGGAGGACATGAAGTGATTATCTTTACTATTGGGCAGCATTTACTAAGCACGTTTGGAACTTTCAATGTTGCATGCAGGCTCTCTGAGAGCACTGCCCAGGCGGGCTCTTTATTCCTTTATATGACAGAACCATAGACTCTGATTTGGAAAGAAATTCACGTTTGAAAAAACCATATTTCTCTGAACCCCAAATCACAATGTCTGGGATACTTTGATCCTCAGATACTCTTACTGAGAGGGGATTAATACAGAATATTTTAAGTAGAGAATCTCCTAGTATCTTGTCCCAATCCTCTTTACAACCTGTAAGTCCTCTCTAAGTATAACTGCTTTTTAGGCTGGCAATTTTTTGGTTTAATCACAAGTAGTTCTGGATATAGAAATAAAAGAAAACACTAGGAATATGACGAAATGTAAATAGGAATATGTTTACAATATACTTGTAGTGAATGATTGAAAAGGTGCCCGAGTTACGGGCTATGAAGAATCACTACTATTCTGTCTAATTCTGCTGAAATGAATTCTTTACATTTCTCAAGGATCTAGATTTTCCATTTCTCACTCCCTTTAATGGGAAAATCGCCTTCATGTGTTCTGCAGCATGCAGTTACTCATGGATAGCTGCCTGCACCCCCACATTGTATTCTACATTGATATTCTCCAGCTATATCAGTACATACTTTGGGAATCAATATGCCTCTCCCTCTCCAATCACATGATAGGTAACCACAAAATACAAAATCACTTTGATAATACCATAAGGCGAATATGAATAGGAGGGCAACTCTGAGGCAAGAATTTTTTTTAATAGATCTCTCACTTAGAATGTAATTCTCCACCCTAGTACACCCAGATCAACTTTTGGTTAAAAAAAATAGTACTTTGTAATGATTCCTTTACTATTCTGGAATGAAAACTAGAGATAATGTTACCTTCCTGCACACTTAATTTTTTAAAAAAAATCAATATGCCCTGAGTATGAAAGATAAATAAAGGAAAGTAATTCCTAGTAAAAGCAATATTTATTTCAACATGTGTGTATTAGGGCATGAGCACATTGGAAAACATAATGAAATTGTCAGGTGTTTGCAGTTATTTGTAGAACCACTATGAATACAACTGCTACAAATGCACACTCACATACGTGAGTTGTTTGCTGCTCGAAGACCATGAATAATGTTGCTATTGATGACTTCGTTTTCCAAAATAGTGATCAACTCTTGGTAAATTCCAAACAAAACAAATTACAACTGTCCCTCAAGTTACCCAGTTGTTACAGTCCTGGATAATTCAATATACATAAAGCCTTGCAGAAAAAATGCTTTATGTTATATATAAAATGGAGATAAATTCATATTTATCAATTATAAATAGGTTTGTACTTACATGCATGTCCACTGGAACCTTCAGCAGTCATGTAAGATACAAGGCAATGCTTTGTTCTACAGGATGGTCCCAGACATTGCAGAATGTGTAACAGCCCAGTCCCCTGCCCGTTTAATGCCACAAGTGCTCACAATCATAATATGAATCAGAAACAGTCCCCCCAGGAGGCAGTACCACCTTTGTTGAGAACCACTGGTGTGCAGGATTTTCAAACAGGGCTTCCCCCATTGGTTTGGATGATTGAGAGTTGACTCTAGTTGTGAAACCAAAGAATGATGCCCTGGAAGGGATCCAGAAGCTTATCTAGTTGGCCACCTCATGTCACCCAGGTGAGGGTAAGTAACTTGCCCTCAGATGCTCAGTAATCTGGGACACTAGATAATCTAGGTAAAAACCAAGGTTTCCCTTTCCACAGTTTTTATTTGTTATTGAAATTAGAAAGATACGCTTGAATGTGTTTCTCTTACACATCCAATATTTTAAAAGAGTTGAATGATCGAGAACATTTTCCTTGGGATATTTGGGGTTGTAAACACTCACTCCTCACCACCGGGCTTCAGTGCCAGGCTAGATACTCTCTAGTGCCCACTAAAAGTCTGCATTTCTGCATCAAACAAATCAGAAAGATTAGAAAATAGTATAAGATCAATGTGTCCAAAGGAACAATTTCTTAGAGCAGAAATTGTCTTATATGGCTAGTGGCTGACTGATTTTTCTCACTATTCTCCCTAAATTTGCAGTCACCAGGATCCCAGCAGGACCTTGGGAAATGAGTGATTGTGGTTCCCAATGCTCCTTGCCTCATGCATAGCCAGGGCCTCTTCCTCTGACAGGGACAGCAAGGGGCTGGTCCCTTCACAAGACCTAAAGAAGACTTGGCTGTTCGCTAATTGCCCTTGGCAAGTATGTTCTAATGGTGAATTGGGTATTTTTAAATTTAATTTGGCAGATCAAATATTATGGAGAGAACGTTTGATTCCACAAACTTCACAATATTGACTAACCAAATTAAAATTGCTCTTAAATCAATGCCTGTTTCAAAAGCATCATTTGGAAAAATTTTACTTAGAAATCTGGTACATTATCAAGCGGGTAAAGATGGATGGAAAGAATAAGCTCATAGGACATAGGAGTTATTGGAAAATGCTCTGGATTCTATATCAAAGAGGAGAAATTAGTTGCCTCCTAATCTCTTCCTCACACAGCACTAAGAAAGCAACCTAATCTCTATGTGCAAACCCCATTCGCAAGAACCCCGAAGAGAACACAAAAGTCCTCCAAGCATGCAAGAAAATATTATCAAGTTCCCATACCAAATGCTTGTATGCACTATACTTTCCTCGCGGAAGAGTGCTTCAGGCCTTTGTTCAGAGACCATTTCCTCTTAATTTTAGACTCACTCTAACAATTTAAACATCAGGTGTTGGAAGCAGCAATTTAGAAAAGAGGCAGTCTGACTGCTCCAGGTAAGCACTGTGGCAGCAACAGGAAGTAACAACTGACAGTCTGACATCAGGAAGGAGATGGAAAACTATTTTACAAAGCGAGGGGAGGAGGGCTGCCATAGGAACTCAAAGTAAATGGCAGCGTGGGCTATTTGATGTAGGGACAGATAGCTTCACTATCCCAGAGAGCATCTCTATAATACAGGACAATTTAGTAATTGACATAAAAGAAAAGTTAAGTTATTGTCAATGGATTTTTCAGCAAAATTCAATACAACAGATGGAATCCTAGAGTTTCAGAGTTAGGAAATTCTTAAAGTAGCATCCAGTATAATACTTTTATTTTACAAATCAGGACAGTGAAAGTAAAGGGGTGGCATTGAGACAGGAGCCCAGCTTACCTGGTCCAGTGCTCTTCCACGGGGACACCTTGACAACCTGAGCTACTGCGGGGAAGGAGGAGACAGTACATCACCTTGAATCACTGATTGTGGCATTGCTTTTGACATCTGTGTTTTTGCTTCCTTGCATTGATTTCACCCCCTTCAGAAGGAGAAGAAACCTGCTCTCTTTATTCACAAAAGAGTGAACTATTGTTCCCTGGTTTGTGATGAGAGAACCTCAGGGTTGGCCCTTAACAAAATTGGGACTAAAGGTAAAGTTCACTTTGAGTTCCCTCCCATGTTCTCCTCCATCCCACTCCTGGTGTGCTCCCTCCACGCTGTCCTATGTCTGTCCCTCAACGTGTCACCCCACCCATGGACCCACACCCAGAATTCCCAGCACAAAATAGGAAACCCTTCCAACTCCCAGAAGTTTGGTGCATTCTTATTCTCTTTCTAATGTGATCTCTAATTACATCAAAGAATGAGGCAATATTCCAGTGTTTTTCAAATATAAGCAAACACATGCATTACCTGGGGAGCTTGTTAAAATGCAGGTTCCTGGTCCTTATCTCCTGAAATTAGGATTCAATAGATGATTCTGGTGGAAGTGGGCCCTGAACCCACTTTGGAAAACACACAGTTTCTGCTTACTCATGTAGCCTTGTCATGCCTAATAACGTGACACTCCCCTCCACCCATATACTTCATACTGTCTCTCTCCACCGTGTCTTTGCCTCATGTTCCACTTCTTCATCCAACTGATTCCTTCATATACCTCAAAACCAGCTGGGCACATGTCTCCTCTCATCTCTGCTCTCATTGATCTCATACCTTCCTGCATTGTCAAGCTAACACAGCCTGCGACATGCACTGTTTTCTGGCCTATCTCCCCTTGCATGTGTCATTTGTCTTTTTTATTCTCATCCCTGGCACTCTGCCATACAGATAGTAGGCACCCTAAAAGTGTTTTAAGTTATCTTTTGTATGTGCTGAATGTTCTTGTTAATAACTAGTAATTTATTTATATTTGCATCTTTTATCTACCCCCCCCCCAGATATAGTACAGCATTCTCACAGATTGCTTGAAGCATCACTCAAATGAGGAGCACCTTTTGTAATATGTAAAAACTGAAAGAGAAGAACGTTATGACCCTGGTGCCATCAAGGGTGGGGATCATGTTGATTTAGGCCCATGTTCACTCAGGATATCTGACACTTAAGGAACACAAGAGAGATACACACAACAAGTGAGAGTTTTTCTAAATAAAGATAAGTTTCCAACAGCTCAGTAAAATTATGCTACGGCTATTGCTAGGTATTCAGGATAAAAAGTTTTCCAGAAGCGAGGTTCAAAGAGATTAGACTTGGCTTCGAATCGATTCATGCACATAAAGCTTTGTGTATTTGTTCTAAAATGCCAGAGATTCTCAATATTTTCTACCCAAGTTTGTTAACAAGAGGCTAGCTCATCTCCTGAAGTCCACCTTCTGTGTGTGTTTATCCTCGCAGGCGTCTGCTATGCAGAGTTTGGAGTCCGAGTCCCCAAGACCACGGGATCTGCCTACACCTACAGCTATGTCACTGTCGGGGAATTTGTGGCCTTTTTCATTGGCTGGAACCTGATCCTGGAGTACCTGATTGGCACTGCGGCTGGCGCCAGCGCTCTGAGCAGCATGTTTGACTCCCTGGCCAACCACACCATCAGCCGCTGGATGGTGGACAGCGTGGGGACCCTCAATGGCCTGGGTGAGATGGCCAAAATCTATCAAGAGCCTGAATTTTGTTTTTTGCAAAGTAACCCTTTCTCTGTGAATCTATCCATCCTAAAAATAATATTGAAATTTCCATGAAAGCATTAAACAAAGAGATGTTCATCACAGTCTTATTTACAATCACAAAAATTTAGAGACAGCCTAAATATTCTACCATGGGACAAATGATTAAATAAATCAAGGACACATATTATGTAGCTAGCAATTTAAAGGATGATTAGGAAGACTTGTAATAACATGCAATATGTTTTAATGTAATGTCATATGTGAAAAGAAACAAACCACATAAGCACCATGACAATAACCATATAAAAATAAAACCAATGCAGGAAAAAGAACTGGTAGAACTTCTCCAGAAGTTTCATCATAATATTTTTTTTTTATTTTTCAAATAAAAAAAAAATCTCTTAAGGAACAAAATGGATCCTAGTCTAGCAGAGGTCCAAGAGGGATAATATAACCGGGTGGATGCCAAACAACCAGAAGCTCACATAACAAATGCCATGAGACCTCGGGCTCCTCCCAGCACCCGCTGTCCACTCTCCATCCTGACATCTGATAAACTTCATATTAGAGGGAAGCCAAACAATAGTTGAGGTAGCTTTAGAGTCTTGCCTCAGCAGCTCCAAGGAATGACTGTGTGGCTGTGTCAAGTCCTTTGATTTTGGTGTCTCTATCTCAGAAAAATTAACAAAAATGCTGAGCACACAGATACCATGATAAGATAAAAAATAGAAACACCAAGCCTGTTCCGTATATGGATTTCGCAGAATTTTAGGTCTGAAAGGGTCCTCCAAAACCAGGTTATGCATGTCCTTCCCTTTACAGGGGGATGAGGCAAGTTGCCCAGGGCCACTCGGCTGACCCCTGGCCCGAGTACGCCGACTGCTGAGGTAGTGCCTCCTCCACTCAGTAGAGGGCAGGAGTCCACTGGCCGATGAGCAGGAGCAAGCAGGCAGGGCGTGTTCACTGCTTATTTTCTCTCGGCAACCACATAGGAACAGAAAACCCCTCTTACAATAATTTTCAAAGACACGCATTCTTAGATTTGCTAATAAAGAAAAGTTTGTTAGAATGGAATGGAAATTTTATAGACCATAAAATTCCCAGTGCTGAAGATAAAAATAATGTTCAAATAATACATCAGACCTCTATATATATCCCATTCCAGGACAGTTCTGACTTCAAATGTCCTGTGCCATGGTTCCACAGGCACTGTTGTAATTGTCACATCACATATCCCAATTTTTGGTCCAGGATATCAGATCCTCTTACCTATCTACCAAAACTTGCCTGTTTGCAAATAGACACAGCTTAGGTATGTGTAGGCACCTGCATGTTCGTGTGCACACACACACACACACACACACACACAGCTCCTCCTCCTCTCTCCCTGACAGACTGACCACCTTCTCAAAACTGAGGGAGGATGCACTGGGGTGGGAGTAGGAGTTTGCATGGCCCTTTCCTCCCTGTGGATGATATTAAATCATGTCTTTCCCTCTAGGGAAAGGTGAAGAATCATACCCAGACCTTCTGGCCTTGTTGATCGCTGTCATCGTGACCATCATTGTTGCTCTGGGGGTGAAGAATTCTGTGGGCTTCAACAACGTCCTCAATGTGCTGAACCTGGCAGTGTGGGTGTTCATCATGATTGCAGGCCTCTTCTTCATCAATGGGAAATACTGGGCTGAAGGCCAGTTCTTGCCCCACGGCTGGTCAGGGGTGAGTTCATTCCTAAAGCCTGGTGCACTTGTCACACGCTCTGCCTTCCACCTAGTGACCAGCTGAAGACATATTTTCACGAAAGTGCCGCTCTATTCCATAATCCCTGTGGCATTCTCTTTATCACTTTTTAATATGAATTTAGTTGGAATGTTCTGAAGAAGTGGCTCTCTTTTTTTTCTTATTTGTTTCACCAGCATTTGCTGAGATCCTATTTTATATAAAAAACAATGATAGATTCCATGGTGCTGACCACTTACAATGTGCCTAACACTGTGCTAAGTACTTTGCATCTAATATCTAATTTAATCGTCCCAATTAAATGGAGAAGATATTTACACTCTGGTCTTAAAGATGAAAAAGACTCCCATTCAGAGAGGTCAAATGACTTGCAATTAAGCACACAGTGTAAGTGGCAAGACCAATAGCCAGTACTGTCTGACTCCAAAGTCTGTCCAAGAATAGCTCAGTTCTGCAGGCTGTCTCTACAGTCTAAGAGAGGCACACGGGTCCATAAATAGACAAGGCAATAAAGGAGGGCAGGGAGAGTGGACAGTTAGGGAAGAAATGAGTTTTGCCTGTGTACGGAACTAGGGAAAGAACCGTTTTTAAATCCAATATCAACATTTGACCCTAGGAGGAGAGTCTGCTGGGGTCTGAGGGTGGTTGAGTGTGCCCAGGGGAGTACTAGTTATAAATCCCATTCCAGAGATGTGGTTCATGGCAGAGAAGTCTACCTCGTGTGGTCTGGGGGTTGGCAAGAGAGTGAGCTGGACCAAAAGGAAATTTTCAGATCTTACCCCATGATCTGGGTGGAGTGTTCTATGTTACAAAAAATGACCAGGTCAAAGTAGCAAATGCTTTATACTGACAAGTGGTTCTAAGTTGCTTCTGGTTTCTTTCTTCTACTAAAAATGCTTATTTAATGGATTTATTGGTAAAACCCATTAGTATACCTTTTATAGAACATAAATCAGAGAAAATTTTGAGCTGGCAGGGATCTTAGAGGTCACCTGGTCCCCTCTGCTCATTTGACAGGTGAATAACCTGAGGCCTAGCGAGGCAAGTCTGCCTAAAACTGATGGCAGAAAACAAGTCCAGGATTCCACACGCTTTGCTTTTGCAGTTTTTGCTTAGACTGGTTTACCTCCAAGATGTCCAGGGATCAGAAATCTGTCTTGGAGAAGACTCAAAATAACTTCTGCTTATTCTGAACCATGCCATGCTGTTCAATGCAGAGGAATAAGCAAGGAAGCAATTGAAGCCAAGATTTCTAGTCTTCTGCTTATCTGTAAGAATTCCACAGAACCACAAAGTTCTTCCCTCCTCTTTGAAATGAATAAATACTGAAACCGGTTAAAACCAGAAGGGACAAAGAAACACTGTTGACCCCATTCTAGATCCCCATATCTACATTATCTTATGATACAAATTGTTCCTTTCCTATCATATAAGAGAAACAACAAATTATAAGAAAAAAAAGAATGGAACTCAATTTCATTTTCATCATAGCACAGGAAAACATTCTCACCATTTTCTTAACAAAATAAGAAATTACTGGGTCGTGGACTTACTTTGGCCATCAGTTAACTTCTGTGGTTTCAGCTTTTTTCATCTACCAAGTTGGAAAACTAACTGCATCAAATGTTTGCAAAAAAAAGAACAAAATTTTTGGAATTTCTATGTGCACTTTGTTCTGGTTAGCAATAGTTAAAATGACAGGAGGAAAGTGCTAGTATTTAAGTGCCAGGCGTTGTACTCTATGAACACTATCTCACTCTTATAACAAAACTTTAAAGCTGGTGCTATTCTTCCCACCATAAAAATGGAGACTCCAAGGCTCAGAGAGGCTGAGTAACTTACCTGACCTCACTTAGTACCGGGGCTGAAATTTCCACCCAGGTCTGTGTGACCCCAAAGCCCTTTCCACCACATCCAGTGCCTTGTGTGGATGACTACTCCCTTCTGGGCCTTCTTTTAAAAAATTTTTTAAATGTAATGAGGTAATGAATCTGACATGTTACATTTCCTTCAAACTTCCACCCATGCACCTTTTCATTTCATGGCTCTTTTGCAATGTTCCTTGGAGGAACATTAAGAAATAGTCTAGTCTCTTTTCTCATCTTCAGATGGCACTATAGTTAAATAGACCAAGGCTTGAGTGTGCATTGTTTATGAAGACATCCTGTCCGTGCAACTGAAAATTTTGCTTAATTACACATTCATATTTAATTTTTAAAATCCTTCTAATAACTCACCCAAATGTCATGCACTCTAGTTTAGACCCCATGTAAATATTGGAAAAATTTCATATCCTCTGTGTAAATGCCCTTTTACTCATTCTGAAGAAGATGACGTTTTTAGCCTTTCCTATCACCTTGTGATTTGTTCGAGGTCTTTATTCTCTCTGGGGGTCTCCCCTTCCCTTCTCAGGGACTCCACATCCTTCCTCAATCAGGAGCCCACCTCACCAAGGAAGGAGTTAATCAAACCAGCCTTAGGGGATCCCTGTTTATACATCCTGGGTTCTCCTGGGGATTGATAAAATAAGATCAGAAGTCAGGCATAAAAAAGGGAGGAAGGATGCCTTTCCTAACATTTAACATTTTCTTTGTGACAAACTCTTTCATATATACTTTTCATTTAATCTTCACAACATCCCTGCAAAATAAGTACAATGATCTCCACTTTTACATGGAAATAATTGAAGCTTATAAAAGTTAAGGTTACAGATCTAGATGATAAGTAATGGAGCTGAAACTCCACCCCAGTCCTGGATGACCAAAGTCCTTATTTACTTCACTCCCCCTGAGTTTGGCATCATGGGACCAGTTATATTTTTTTGCATTTTGCTCCCTGTCCTGACTCCAACCTGAGCCTACTACCTTCAATAGTTTTGTTGTTGGCCACCAAAAAACTAACTGAGATTCTGGAGTTTTTGCTGCAAATCCATTATTCCTGAAGGAAACTCAGGGATAATGGATGTCCTAGTGGTTGTGCCTAAAAGTATCATCTGAGCACAAAGGACAGCCCAGTGTGAAGATGTTGCTGATTCATCCTGTCTGCTCTCTGCCTGGCCTTGGATTTCTGCATAGTACATTTCCTCTCTAGTGAATGGGCCTGGACCTGTTCCTTCTCAACTTTGGTTTCAGGTCACTTTTCCAGTCCAGCAAAGTCACTTTGAATTTATATTCTATTTTTTAAGGTCTGACACTGTCTCATGGCCATGTCATCCACCAAGGTAATAAACACATCCCCCACTATGTTCTCTAACAATTGTCAACAAAACTATGTTGCCCAGTTACCACTTACATGAGCTTCTTCACTCCTTAGGGACCCCTTCCCCAGACTAGTAGACTAGTACAGAGTTCCAATCCATTCATTCTTCAATCACTCTGGTCAGGATGGAAGAAACTATTGTGTAGAAGGTGATTTATAAGAATAGCATTGCATGACTTTACACACAATTCTCAAGTATTTTGAAAGAGTTAATGAACAATCCATCCTCTGGCCATGGACCCCTCATAAGCCTACTCTTTCCTCTGCTTGAAACACTTCCTTCCAAAGAAAATAGCTTAAGGAATGGTTTACTCACTTACACGTTCTGGGTCAAATGCTTCTTTGGTCTTGAAGAGCTTAAGAACAACAAACATTTTTCCCTATATCAAGTAACTCTGGCCCTCAGCTGAACCCCTGCCTCCATCTGCAATGCCTCAGCCGCTGGACATTGTTGGATGTGTGCTCCCTTTATGTTATTTGTTCTTGATGCTATCTTATGGTTTTTCTTTAACCAAATAAGATACTCTACCAGCACAAACAGCTCCCAGGAAAATGGTCCATAGCAAGCATTTGTGGGGAATTCTGACAGCCTCCAAACAAAGGGAAAGTTATTTTTCATGTTCTCCACATCTGAATCCATTTGTTGGAACCTATTAGCACATTCCACTGTCACTGTGGACAGGTTGCTAATAGAGCTGGGGCATGGGGGTGGTAGCAAATGCCGTTAAGTTGGAATTTTGTCTTGTTACCTTGGGAGTGAGTTATGTAAAGGTGCCTAATTATCTCCTAGGCATCTGGCAGGCTGGCCGAGGTGGAAAATATGAGATGGCTGCCTCATCCTACTGCCTCTTAAATATCAGCAAGGCACAGGGGGCCAGCTTTTAAGGACCCCACACACTGAGTAGCAGGCCACTAATGACATTGCTTTTGACAACTAATTAAGCAGCAGCCCTCCAGCAACTGAGGCACGTGCTGCTTCCCTGCAAAGCTCTACAAAGCGATGGACCCGGTCTGCATTGCCGAGCTGAGCATCCACACCAGGTTTACTTTGGAAAGCAATCTCAGCTATGGCATCAAATTAAAAAGTCAATGCTATTTTTAACCACGTAAAACATTAAAATAAAGTGTTAGGATAAAGTACCAATGAAGCCAGAAACACACATACATGTGCACACACGTGCACACACACACACACACACACACACACACACACACTTACACCGATTTTATTCCTAGATGCTCACTCCTGGATACCACACACATTCTTTCATGCATGGGAGCATATTCTAATCATAAATACCAGTGTCCAGATCTGATATCTGTATAGCATGCAGTGAAAAGCAGTTTCGGTGGTTATTTGGGTAGAGACACACCCATGCACCCTTTCATTCCATGGCTCTTTTGTATTTACCAATCAGGGACCATTTGCTTACAAGAAAGAAACATTCATTCAAACTAACTCAAGTATTTAATAAAAAGATTATCCTTTTTGCTAATTGCATTATCTTTTCTTTGATAATCTGTTTATTTAATCTATGTCTTGTTAGGCTAAGATCTGTCTGACCTCGGTAGGTGTGCCAGCCGTTCTCCATGTGCCACCACTCCCTGATCTATTCTCTGCCCTTCACACTCTGTTCTCTGCTCCAGAAAACCCCTTGCTGGTTGCTTCCTGTTGGGTTTAGCTAACGGGAAATATTATCAGTTCAGAGGGTGAGGAGAGAGCAAGGCTGGGGTATTTCCTCCTTGCTGCCTTGCTGCCTGGGCACCACACTGGCTGTGCACCTCCACAGAGACAGCACTTCTGGGCACCTCCAGCTCCCACTGGACTCCAGGAACACCATCCACCCTTTGCTCCAGGCCTTGGGATGACAGCAACTTCTTACTGTTGTCATCTCTGGTGCCTCCACATCCCTAGTTGGCTTTAACCCTGCCTGTACACTGCCAATACCTGCCTATAATCCCTCTTTGCAATCACGTCATTTGAATCACCTGAGTTAAATTCTGCTGACTGCCTAATATAGTAGAACCTCGAAACGTCCTACCTTTGATCTGACCAGTCTTTCTTCCACTATAATTGCTTTCTAGTTCTAAAACATGCAAATTCAGGCTAACACACATCCTCTCTGCACACTTATTTCCTCTTTTCCTAACTTGATCGTAGTTAACTTTCTAGTAGCTAATCATTAGCAGTAATCACCATCCATTCTATCATTCATTTGGAAAATAGTAGCCTTTGTGTTTTATGAATAATATAGATACTTACTAACTTTGCTCACTTTGTTACCACAGTCAGAGTTGCATCTGGGGTCTTGCAGTATCCTCTAGACCTCAAGCCCCATGAGGTCACTCTCAGAGTACTTTTTGCTCATGACTATATCCCCATCACCAAGCACAGTGCCTGGGACATGGTAGCATTTAACATATACGGGTCAAGTTCTGAAAGAGGGAGGAGGATGAGGAGGAGGTAGGGTGTGGGAGGAAGAGGGGGAGAAGAGAGAGAATGAGGAAGAAAAGGAGTTTGTGTACTTGGGTTTCAACTGCTCTAGAAAAACTTACAATAGCAATAACTATTTATTGAGCGCCTACTGTATTCTAGGACTGTAATCTACTATGTTGTCTAATTAATCTTTATGAAAACCCTATGAGCTAAGTGCTATTATTATCTCCATTGAAGTGATAATGAAACTTAGGCTCCAAGAGGTTAGGACTTGTTCTAGATCACCAAGCTATTGTGTGGCAGAACAAACCTAGGTCTGAAGTCTACAAAGTCTACACTCCCAACCAAACCCAGTTGCGCCATGTGCCTGGCTCTAGGATTCCCTCTGGCGCCTACAGGATGCCTCTGCTCCAGCTGCCAACTACTGATAATTCACATATCTGAAGGTGCCCTTCGTGTCTTCCACTGAGTCTCCTGCTCTTCAAGTTAGACATCTCCAGGTTCCCAGTTATTCCTCACATGTTGTGGTTCACACACCTCTCACCTTTTTCTGAAATAGATTTGCCCCAGATCTACATAGTTGTTGTGCCAGGTCACCATATGATATAAGAGGGGGGTGTGTGTATGTGTGTGTGTGTGTGTGTGTGTGTGTGTGTAGGTATGTGTGTGTGTATATGTGTGTGTTCATGTATGTATGCATGTCTGTGTGTGCATGTGTGTGTATACATGCATATGTATGTGTGTGTTTGTATGTGTCTACGTATGTGTATGTGGAAGGGAAGAAAGATGTTGAAGGAAAAGAAAGTAGGACCTGTTTTCTGTAAGCTGTCTTAAAGCGAGGCTTCCTTGTTCAGGACAGCTTAGTGAGCCTGCAATCCTAGCATCCATTCATCCTTGAAAACCACTAATATTTTCTAGATAAGTGAAAACAAGCACAGTTCCAAGCCTGCGAAACTTCATGTGTGATAAGGTGAAATCTGTTCTCTCCCCTGGTGTAGATGCCAAAGACATTTTCTATACCTTGATATAAACGACTTTGCTGGAAGGAAAGTAAGAGTTCTCTTCTCTCCCAGAGAGTAGCCCTCTGTAGATGGGGCTGCTTATGTTTGAGAAGTTCTTTCTACCTGACTTATTAGAATGGACCAGGAGTTCTTAAACTTTTTGTGCCATGGACCTCTTGGAATTCTGATGAAAATTATGAACCCCTTATGAGAATTGTGTTTTTAAATGAATAACCTAATTATTAATATTTAGGAATTAAAAAGAAATCAATTTTACCAAAATGTAGCAATGAATATTTTTAAATTGTGTATAATAACAATGGGTTTCTTTATTGGGCTTTAAATATCAATATCTATGTCTGATAACTATCATAATTTGGAATTAATGATAAACATATGTAATATTTTAAGATCTCTGCAACAACTCTCATATGATATGAAAATATCTGATTGCTATTGGTAACAAACGCATGGCTACTATTGGTTTGTCACCTACCTGCATAATTAAAAGAAATGCTAATATTCACTTAGAGATTGGTTAAAAAAAATACAATATAATTATTTCCCAGCAAAATTCTCAGGCCCTCTTGAATTCCATGGACCCCAGGGTTAGAACCCCAAATTAGGGGATGGAAACATTAGAATCCTAATTGGGAGAGATGGTAAAAGACACCAGCTCATTTTACAGACAAGCAAAGGTTGCTTTTGAAGCTTTGCGATTTTTGAATTTGTGACGTACCTTATAGATTCTAGTATTTAGTATTTTGTCTTTTCCTTACTGAGAAGTCATTGGGGAAAGTAAGAGTGAAAATGTTGGACAAGTGTCTACTTGGCACATGTTTTGATTTTCATCATTTATAAACTGAGTGTGGAAGAAAGGGGGGAATTGAGTCCAGTCTACAATGGGTCTCACGTCCTGGACCCCTGGCTAGAGTGTGCATTTTATTTCCTCAGCCCATACACACAAGTCCAAAAAAACTCTTGACTTCCCCTGAAATGACATCCCTAAGCATTTAAAGAGGTACTTTTTTCACTTTCAGCTATTAATGAGAATACCAAGGTTGGGAAAGTTCAATGGATTCTTTAAAAGAAAGTAACACTCCTCAATGGAACATTTTCACTGACATCTTGACTTATACAGTCCCTCCCTCCCTGCGACAGACATCCGGCGGATGTTTCTGGGTATCACCTCCTCAGCTTTACTCTGATCTCCTGCTCTATGCCCAAGTAGGTCACTTAAGCCCCAAAAGGAGCAGAAAATCAAATTCTATCTTTACTCTGTCTTCCCAGACAATAGAGGATCTGAAGAGCTGAAAATCTCTTATATCATTTCAAATCTGGAAATTCCCATAGCGATGATCTATCAGGGCACTAATGGTCATTTGGCCAGGATAATTCTCTATGCAGAAGTATCTGACCCCCTACACTAAATTCCAGAAGTGTCCATCCCATGTCTGTGGGGTCAAAAGTATCTCCCCGCATTTCTAAACCTCCCCTAGCGGTGGTCACGTAGCCTGTGGCTGTGGTTGAGAACCACTGGATGAAAACAGAACACAGAAAAGTATTAGTTCCCTAAGACATAGAGATAGCCAACATATTGATTTATTCATACTCCCACTTATTCCCAAAAGAACCTGAATGTGTTCCATGATCCAGTGTGTATTTTGGCATAGTTCTTCATATCTCCACTTTCCACATGCAGGGACTGACCACAGCCACACAGCTAGAAGGCAGGGGTCCTGGGGTTTTTAGCACTAGCTCTGGCATGTCACCTGCCCGGCCACTCAGTAATGTCTGCGGTACAGTGGGCAATTGTGGGAACCGTGTTTAAGGCTCTGGTGCTGCCCTGAGTCTTACAAATGCATCCATACAGGTGCTGCAAGGAGCAGCCACATGTTTCTATGCTTTCATTGGCTTTGACATCATCGCCACCACCGGAGAGGAAGCCAAGAATCCCAACACGTCCATCCCTTATGCTATCACGGCCTCCCTGGTCATCTGCCTGACAGCGTATGTGTCTGTAAGTACCAGATGCTCCCGGGACCCTCCTCATGGGCCTGTGTTCCCTCCTCTGTCAGGAGCTAGTCCTTTCCCTGTGCCTTCTTGGTGTCTGTGTGCCTGTGTGGTGTGCGCCCTGTCGCCCCACCTGCCACCCATGACAAGAAGAGAATCAAGACTCCGAACTGGAGAGGAGGAGAAGCCCCAGGCCCTCACTTCATCCTGGGCCTCCGTCCTGCCCCTCCCCGCGCACAAGCTCTCAGTGTCCGCGCTTCCCCCGGGGACTGCGGCAGGGAGCGGGCCGCCGTCCAAGGAGCCCAGGTCATAGGCTGGCAGTAACGGGTGGGTGTGCGAGCAGCGGCATTGTGGGCCTCTGTGCGCATCCCTCAATGCTCTTCTGTCTTCTGGGAGCTTCCCGGCAGCAAAGAGGCGAGGCTCCCGCAGAGCCGGGAAAGAGAGTATATTGTCCTCCAGAGACTCGCTTCTCCTCAAGTCTGGGGGAGGAAAATGAGATTTCTTTCGGCTGTTGCTCCCTCTTTGGACACTGGCTTAAATTCATCCTTCGGGTTTCCCTGCCTGGGGGAGTCCTGAGTATGAAGCCTTCAGCCTTGTCTCCGCAGGATCACTCCCCTGAGAGGCTGAGCCACTCCTCACACTTTGGTGTTTCATCTCTCTGCTCCCATCCCTGACTTTCTCTCACAGAAACAGCTCAGCCACATCCAAGATCCCCCTCAGCCCCTGGCAATGGAGAGAATCAGCTGATAAGCCAATGAGCGTGTGGTGACACAAGTACCCCCAGGGCCTGAGGGCCCCACTCACTCGGTCACCACAACTAGGAAAGAGGCAGCCGCTGGGGGTGCACCCATCAGCCCTGCTGTTTCTCCTTCCCTAGAAGACGTCTTCAGCAACTAATTAAGGAAGCCAGGCCAATTGATCATTAAGACAAGCTGCAAAACAGAATTGTCCTAGAAGCCAAACATAAACACAGAGCAGCTTGGATGTGGTGTGCAAACATTTAGTTGCCCACCCATATGTTTTATGAATGGGTCGATTATTGCCTCCCCCACCCCACGCAGACACACTCAAGTGCTTCATGCTGTCCAAGCCCTGGTCATCCCTGTGGAGAGGGTTTGAGGGAGGGGTGGCGAGGTAGGGGAGCAGCAAAGACACTCTGTTCTGCATTTCCCCTCCCCCCCTCCCGCCAGGGCCAACACTTACAGCACAATAAAGTCCACGATTACAGCTCCTTTCCTAGAATAGCACTTTACAGACTACAGAGTACTGCTATACATCTACCAACGTTTTACCCACCCTGATCTACCGTGGCCAGGAGACTCGACCCAAGTTGCTGTAAGAATCAATCCCGCTCTCCTTCAGCCCACCCTACCCCATCCCTAAAGGGGATGTTGCGAGTGGTGATGTTACTGGGAAACACTCTCTTTAAGACTGCATGGATCTTAAACATGCCTCAGAAGCTGCTTGCATTGGTTAGCAGGCAGCCACTCCACCACCAGAAGAGCCAAATTGTTGGGCTCTGGTGTCATATCCTGCCATCTTTCCTGGCAGCCCATGGAGGAACTTAGCTCCTGCAATAGGGAAAGTGGTCTACACTTGACCACCATCTCCCTTTTAGCCTTTGAACTCCCTTCTTGGTAGCAGGCTGGAGCAGCCCCACATCTGTCTATATGACTGGTAGCTCCATTGCCTCTGGCCAAGTCTAAAGGGAGGGATGTTTGGAAGACCTATGCCATGTAAGTGGGTAGGTCCCTGGAGCCCATAGCCAAGTGGTTCATGGTCAAGCAAAGCCATGGTAGTCTCATAGCCCTGGAGTAGGACTTGATTCCATCCTGACACCACTATTTGTTTCTTGGCCTGCCTGGTTCCTGGGATTAAGCCAGAGAGAGGAAGTGGAAATATAAGTCCTCATCTGGGTCCCATCAGTTAATTACCTAATGACTTTATCGGCACTTATCTTTGGAGTTTTGATCTCTGGTGTTCGAAGCAAGAGGGAATACAGATATGACCCTATAGAGAAAGTATAAAAGAAACGAGAGTCTTGTCCATGAGGGCAGGGTGCTCATGGTCACTGCCAGGCCCTGGCTGCAGCTCCTTTTCTCTGGTAGTATCTGCTCTCCATTGAACTGTCAGCGTAGCTCTGCTTTCATAGGGCTGAAATGCCTGCAGACTTGTTCCTCAGACATCAAAGGGCCACAGAGATATATTAGAGATTTTCTGGTCTAGTCCACTAAATTCACATGTGGGGAGAAAATATGGAGGCCCAGAAGCCAAATGACTGGTCTAAAGTAAAGGCACATGCCAACAAGTGGCAGATCCAAACTGCCGTGCAAGCCCTCCTCCAGGGGCAGGGCTCTTTCTTCTGCTGTGGGGCGTCCATCCGTGCTGTCCACCCCCACACCTCCAGCTATGCCTTCTCTTGTTTTAACAGGTGAGCGTGATCCTAACTCTGATGGTGCCGTACTATGCCATTGACACGGAATCCCCGCTCATGGAGATGTTTGTGGCTCATGGATTCTATGCTGCAAAATTCATAGTGGCCATTGGGTCGGTTGCCGGACTGACAGTCAGCTTGCTGGGCTCCCTCTTCCCAATGCCCAGGGTCATTTACGCCATGGCTGGTGATGGGCTCCTTTTCAGGTAAGGCCTACGCTCCGTGAAATCTATTCTGCTCTGCCGCGTGTATCCAGACAGTGTGTCCACCACTGTCAGCCTGACTGTGATTTTGATGTGAGTGCCATTCACACAGACTGCGGGACCTGTCATGTGTCCTAGGAAAGAGTTTGAGTGAAAAGAGCTCAGGCCCTGAAACAGCCCTTCAGTTTTGCTCTGGGTCCCTCAAACCAGCACAAATTTATATGTTCCCCCAGCTGCCCTCCTCCCTCTTGTGTGACATAGTGTGCTCCTCTGTGAAAATGGCAGGTGCCAAACTGCTGCACTGGGTAGCTTTCAGAAGGAAGATCCCATCCCAGGGATATCATGGATGCCTGGTAACTGCCCTGCTTTCCACAGCCCTTCTCTCCACAGCCCCTCTCTCCACAGCCCTCTCTCCACAGCCCCTATGTCCACAGCCCTCTCTCCACAGCCCTCTCTCCACAGCCCTCCACAGCCCCTCTCTCCAACCAGCCCTCCTCCAACAGCCCCTCCCCCACCAGCCCTCTCTCCCAGCCCTTCTCTCACCAGCCCTGCTCCTCAACAGCCCTCTTCTCCCACAGCCCTCTCGTCCACAGCCCACTATCGCTCCACCAGCCCTCTTCCACATTGCCCTCTCCACACCTCCTCACAGCCTCTCCACAGCCTCCACTCTCCGCACAGCCCTCTCTCCACATGCCATCTCCTCCACAGCCATCCCTCACAGCCTCTCTCCCCACAGCCCTCTCTCTACAGCCCCTCGCTCCCCACAGCACTCTAAACTCCCAGGCCCGCTCGTCTCCACACCCTACTCCCCAGCCCTCCCACAGCCCTCCCCACAGCCCTCTCCTCCACAGTCCTCTCCCTCCACAGTGCCTTTCTCAGAATCAACAGCCGCTCTCCCACACATCCCTCTCTCGCACCAGCCCTCTCCCACAGCCCTATCCCACAGCCCCTCTCTCCACAGCCTCTCTCCACGCCTCCTCCTCAGGCCTACTCCACAGCCACTCCTCTCCCACCGTCCTTTCCAACAGCCCTCCACAGCCTCTCTCCACAGCTCTCCATCCGACAGCCCTCTCCCACAGCCTCTCTCCACAGCCCCTCCCTCTCGCAACCTTCTCCACGCCCCTCCACAGTCTTTCACCCAACCCCCTCTCCTCCATCACCCCCTCATCCCAGCCCTCTAATCCACACCCTCTCTCCACACCTCTAATCCCACCAGTTCCTTCTCAACAGCCCCTCCTCTCTCACAGCCCCTCATCTCCCCACAGCCCTATCTACTCCACATACCGCTCCTCACAGCCCTACTACACCAGCCCTCTCTCCACAGCCTCTCCCACACCCCTTCTCTCCAGCAGCTTCCCACATCCCTCTTCCACAGTCCTTCTCAACAGCCCCTCTCTCCACCAGCCATCTCTCGCACAGCACCTATCTCCACCCACCTCTCTCACCAGCCCTCTTCCACAGCCCTCTCTCCACAGTCCTTTCTCAACAGCCTCATCCTCCACAGCCCTCTCTCACACACCTATCGCCACAGCCCCTCCTCCACAGCCCCCTGCTTCTCCACCAGCCTCTCCCCACAGCCCTCTCTCACAGCCCTCCTCTCCACATCCTCTCTCCACAGCCCTCTCTCCACAGTCCTCTCCAACAGCCCCCTCCTCTCACAGCCCTCTCGTCACACCCTATCTCCACATCCCTCTCTCGCAACAGACACACTTCTCCACAGCCCCTCCACCAGCCCTCTTCTCCACGGCCCCCTCTTCAACAGCCCCTCTCTCCACAGCCCTCTCTCCAGCAGCCCCTATCTCCACAGCCCCTCTCTCCACAGCCCTCCCCTCCACAGCCTATCTCACACCTCTCTCCACCAGCCTCTCGTCCACAGCCCTTATCCCACAGCCCATATCCCACAAGCCTACTCTCCACAGCCCCTCTCCACACCCCTCTCTCCACAGCCCTCTCTCCACAGTCCTTTCTCAACAGCCCCTCTCTCCACAGCCCTCTCTCCACAGCCCCTCTCTCCACAGCCCCTCTCTCCACAGCCCTCTCTCCACAGCCCTCTCTCCACAGCCCTCTCTCCACAGCCCTCTCTCCACAGCCCTCTCTCCACAGCCCTCTCTCCACAGCCCCTCTCTCCACAGCCCCTCTCAAGTTGAAAAAATCAATAATCAAAGAGAAGATAAGACCCTCTGAATAGAACCTAATAATAGCAACAACAATAACACCATTTATTGAACATTTGTGTAACCTGGATGCTTTGTATACTGTACCCTATTTAGTCCTCACAATAATTCTATTTGCAGGTGAGTATGCTAAGACTCAAAGAGGTGAAAAAAAAAAAAACTTGCCACAAATTCCCCAGCTGCTGAGTGGCAGGTCAGGATTTGAACCCAGAGCTATCCAACTCCAAAAATCAGACTTGTAAATACACCAATAATTGACAGTTCTAGCTCTCTAAGTTGGCCATGAAGTGGCCTATCTGCCCATGGTACAAAGGGGGTGTGGCCTCATCTCTTGGTTTCCAGCAAGAGGGGCTTGCAGGGAAGGCCGCCTGCAAGTGCACAAAGCAAAGAGTAAACCATGGAGGCAGAAGAGCTCTCAGGGGAGCAGAGGGGCCTGGCTCAGAGACTTTATCTCTGTGAAAGTCATCTTCTTTTTTTTACTAATGAATTGACTTATTTTTTTTTTATTTTTCCCCTCCTTTTATTTCATTATATTATGGGGGTACAAATATTGTTGGGGTTACATATATTGCCCCTGCCACCCCTCCTCCCCTCTGTGCCAGCGCTTTAAGCGTGTCCAACCCCCAGTTGGTGCACACCACACCCATTATGTAAGTATGTAAGTATGACAGTCATCTTCTGCTCTGTTTCCTCGGGCACCTTCTGAAGCCATCGCCAGGCCAGAGCTGCTGTATTTGGGTTGCTGAACAGATCAAGAAGGGTCTATGGTAATGCAGGTGTGATAACTTCACACATCCAAAGGTTTTTCTGCTGTCAAAGAAAACTAAGAGGAAAGATGCTGGGGCTTCAAGAACAATTTACAATCTGTGTGAATCATGAAAATAAAAGAGGAATGGAGGAGGAGAAAGGTGGAAGGACCGGGAGAAGAGAGAGAAGGGGAGAGGGAGCCTGTAGGAACTGCTAAGAAGCGCCGCCGTTTCATCGGCCTTATTGGTCTTCTGTTCTTCAGGTGGTAACCAGCTGGACTTGAGCCTGTATCTATGAGCATAGGTTCTTAACCATTGCACTCTTTTGCCAACTAAATCCCTGTACTTTTGTTGTACAGCAGTGTTTCTCAAGCTTTGGCATAAATCAGAATCCACCGGGGATCTTTTGAAGCATAGTTTGCTAGGCCCCACCCCCAAAGCTTCTGATGTATTAATAGTAGATCCTGGATGAAACCTGAGAATATATTTCTAACAAGCTCCAAGGTGATGCTGCTGCTGCTAAGCCACAGGTCTAGAGGACCCCCAAACAAGTGCATGGCTCCCTGCAACCATCACTTTTTCCCACAAAGCCTGGACTTCAACACATAGCTCTGACAGACCTCCTAGATTCAATCAACCTTTCCCCTTACAAATGAAGTGGGCACTTTAATATAAGAAGTTTGCCTTAAAACTGGAGAATTAAAGTGAATTTCCTTTAAATTATATTCCAGGAACCAAATCCTGGGGTGGGAATAGCAGCTGGATTTGAAGTAGTGAATGCAGAATGGATTGGAGGAGCGGGACGGGAGGACTTAACCACACCAGCCTGTGGACAGTTCCAGCCCCTCTGTTGGCCATGTTAGAATCCGTCACTGTCTGTAGCTCTCCATTAACCCTCTGCTTGCGCCTCCCCTCCAGGTTCCTGGCCCATGTAAGCTCCTACACAGAGACGCCAGTGGTGGCCTGCATCGTGTCGGGGTTCCTGGCAGCTCTCCTCTCGCTGCTGGTCAGCCTGAGAGACCTGATTGAGATGATGTCCATCGGCACGCTCCTCGCCTACACCTTGGTGTCCGTCTGCGTCTTGCTCCTTCGATACCAACCCGAGAGTGACATTGACGGTTTTGTCAAGTTCTTGTCTGAGGAGCACACCAAGAAGAAGGAGGGCATTCTGGCTGACTGTGAGAAGGAAGCCTGTTCTCCAGTGAGTGAAGGGGATGAGTTTTCTGGCCCAGCCACCAACACATGTGGGGCCAAGAACTTGCCATCCCTGGGAGACAATGAGATGCTCATCGGGAAATCAGACAAATCAGCCTACAACGTCAACCACCCCAACTATGGCACCGTGGACATGACCACAGGCATAGAAGCCGAGGAATCTGAAAACATTTATCTCATCAAGTTGAAGAAGCTGATCGGGCCCCGTTACTACACCATGAGAATCCAGCTGGGCCTTCCAGGCAAAATGGACCGGCCCACAGCAGCGACAGGGCACACGGTGACCATCTGCGTGCTCCTGCTCTTCATCCTCATGTTCATCTTCTGCTCCTTCATCATCTTTGGTTCTGACTACATCTCAGGGCAGAGCTGGTGGGCCATACTTCTGGTTGTTCTGATGGTGCTGCTGATCAGCGCCCTGGTGTTTGTGATCCTGCAGCAGCCAGAGAACCCCAAGAAGCTGCCCTATATGGCCCCTTGCCTCCCCTTTGTGCCTGCCTTTGCCATGCTGGTGAACATCTATCTCATGCTAAAGCTCTCCACCATCACATGGATCCGGTTTGCGGTCTGGTGCTTTGTGGGTAAGCAACTTCCTCTGGAGCCTTGCGAGTTCTGTTTTAGGAGCTTAAACACGCTTATCCCAAAATTACCTCCTAACTGGACTAGGCAACTCCATTCCTAGAGAATTCCAGCTTGCATTCTGCATTAGAGCCAATAAAGCCAGTTGTTCCTTCTCTGCCTGTTATGGTCTTGGTCATTGGCTCTGGAAGAATGATGCTGATTAATCCATCACTTCACTGAATACAGAACTGCTGAAAGTTCTTTCTATATCAGAATAATTAGTACCAGAAAAAAATCCACTTAAAGTGAATCTACATTTTTTTTACAAAGGGACAAAGATATTACAGTAAAAGTGAGGAAGGAACAGTTGATTGATTGGAATTCTATCTTAGAAACTAAAAATTGCAAAACAAAAACTTATGAAAAAATTTAGCTTACATTTGACAAAATTATGTTAAATTAGCAATTGTGCTCTAATTTTTAAAATGAACAAATTATTAATTAAGTGTGGACTTTGGCATTATTTTTCTGACAAATTTGCACCATTTAACATCTCTCACTTCATACTGACTTTTGTGACATATTCAAAGGTTTTTCATTTTTTTCCCAAGGCACTTTTTTCATCCTTTGACATTCCAGTCATTCACTTGGGAAGCACCCATCCTGCCATCGTTCTTGTTGACTTTCTGCCTTCCGCTGTTAATAACTGATATGACTCTGTTAGGTCCTCAGTTGTCCACTGCTTTGGGTATGAATTGAAACTGTTCTCTAAACCCACTTTCATGGACTTCAAGAAGTCCTATACTTTTTCTGAGATTTCTAGTTTTACTTGGGGATCAATTTATATCGTATTTTCCTTACACGTTCATCATCTCTGACAGTCACTGCTATTTACGAGGTGCTGGGGATTGATGCTAGCGATAATTTGAGAGGGATGTTTAAGTGAAGGCTAATTTCAAAGTTCCTGGGTCACTGTTTTAACACGGTAACCCTGGGGTGACTGGTAACAAATACTTAGCTGAGGAGGATCCTTAGGACCTTGGAGGAATAGGAGAGTAACAGAATAGGTAACACCTGCCTAGAGGAGAAGTGAGACAAATGCACACAAATCAACTAGCCTGGGCAAGGCCACAGAGACTCACTGGTCAGGAGCCCGTCGGCTCCTTAGGATCAGGGACGTGGGTGTTCACCGAGTGTGCTCTGTGCCTGGAACAGAGTGCCTGTGCTGTGTGCTCAATACATACTTTTTTTTTTTTTGAGACAGTCTTGCTTTGTTGCCCAGGCTAGAGTGAGTGCCGTGGCTTCAGCCTAGCTCACAGCAACCTCAAACTCCTGGGCTCAAGCAATCCTGCTGCCTCAGCCTCCCGAGTAGCTGGGAATACAGGCATGCACCACCATGCCCGGCTAATTTTTTCTATATATATTAGTTGGCCAATTAATTTCTTTCTATTTATAGTAGAGACGGGGTCTCGCTCTTGCTCAGGCTGGTTTTGAACTCCTGACCTCCAGCAATCCGCCCGCCTCGGCCTCCCAGAGTGCTAGGATTACAGGCGTGAGCCACCGTGCCAGGCCTTAATACATACTTCTTAGACATTATGAAGCACTCTTCAGAGAGAAAAAATAACAACAACTTCCAGTCAGAATATCCAGAAAGGACTTTGAGGAGGTAGAATCTGAACTGGGCCTAAAAGGTAAGATTTAAAGGAAAAACCAGAGCGATCAAAGGAAAGGGTATGTGTCTTCCAGCAGATTTCTGGCCACTGAAGGCCATTCTATGACTTCCTGTAAACATTATGTCCGAAGTTTACACTATTCTAAATCCCTCTTGTGAACTTCAGGAAGATTTCTTGAAAGGACCCCACTGACTCATCAAAATTTTAACCATTTATATGATTTATTTTACAATCTCTTATCTCCAAATATTTTTCCACTGGAACATGTAGCTAACCAACAGAAAGATTCTACTCTGGACAGAAGTGACTGAAGCGGCAGAAATATTTTAGTCATGTATTTTACAAATGAATGAAGGCACAGACACAAAAATACACATTGACTTATTCATTCAATCACAGACTATTAAAGCTGAAAGGGCCTCTAACATCTAGTGCACCGTTACCCACAGTGTGGTGCCCATTACACTGGTAATAAATACTTCAGCTGATTTTAGAAAGTGTATGAATGAACTTTTAAAATATTTTATAGTTATTATACCCTTTCACATTGTACTAGAAAAACCACACATACTCACCTGTAAATCTGGTGATTTCACAAATACAATTGCATAGGAAGAGGCTATATAGATGATTTTTTTTAATTTAAAAAGTGAGTTGTATTAAAGAAAACCATTAGTACTAGAACAGGGGCCATATGATTCATAGTAATAATTAATACTTATATAGCATTTATCATATATCAACCATTATTCTGAGGGCTTTTCTTATCTATTTAATTTACTTATTTTACTTAATCATTACAACAGTCTCCATTTTACAGATGAGGGAACTGAGGCACTTACCTGAGGTCACCCAGTTAGAATATAATAGAGCCAAGATTAGAATGCAGGAGTGTAGGGCCAGAGTCCATGGTTATAGCCCCCATACTAAACATAACTGGAGTTATAAAACACTGATGTGTCCACCACCTTCCCACTTCTCTTTCTCTCCACTTCCCAGATGAATAAACTAAACCTCTAAGAAGTTAAATAACATGCTCAAGGTCAATGGGAAGTTATTCGAAGAGCTATTAGTAGAATTTAGTATGCTCGTGCTCAGATCTGGCGCTCCTACCACCCCACCAGGGTGTCTCTGAGCAGACTTTATTTGATCAGAACATTTGATGAGGATTAACACATAATATGAGGACTGGCTTCATGGGCCTACAACCTGTGCAAAGGGTCCCATGCTTGGTTTAATGCTCTGCTACTGCTATCTTGAATTCTCAATAATTTTTAAACAAAAGTCCTCAACTTTTCATTTTTCACCAAAAATTCTATAGCCAGTCTGCATAATATCTATGGTTTCTGAAGCGCCAGAGACATTTTGCAAAAAAATGGTAAGGGGCCTTTTACTGTGGAATCAAACAATGTCAAGTTCAAATCACAGCTCCACCACCTCCTTTGTCTTGCGACTTTGGGAAATTCATTTATTTGGACCTCAGTTGACTCATCTGTAAAAAAGCAGATAGTTCTATCAGCCTTGAACCGGTTGCTGTTTGGGGCTTAAATGAGAAAAATGTTGGAGAAAGCAATAAGAAACATTTATTTCCTGCCTTTCTTTTAAAAATCTGAAGTGATTCATTGTCCACCTGTGTGGACATAGTAGCTATCATATGCCAAAGCACGATGTGAACCTCTGCTGACTCAGGCTGCCCCTCTAGTTATCAGGCAGAGGAAAACTCCCTGAGTGCCTTTTGTAATCTTGCTGAGAGTATGAACTCCAGACTCCCTCCAGAAACTGCTACTCACTGACTCAGAGGGATGACATCCCACGGCCTGGGCCTGGCCAGGCAGAGGGCACAGTTGTCTACAATTCAGCAGGCAACAGGTAATTCTGATACGCAGCCCATAAGCCACATTTGGGAAGGATTGTTAGTATTTGTGGGCACCTGCTGCTAACTGCTTTAGTATCATAATTTTGAAGCCTGCCATATAACTAAGTTTTACCCAGAACAAATATTCTCAACCCTGGCTACAAATTAGTGTCACCCTGGGTTGCTTCTGAAAAATTCTAAGCACAGAATCCCCCTACAGAGATTTTCTGATTCAATTGGTCTGGTGTGGCCAAGTGCTGGGTAATTTTTAGAGCTCCCCCAGGTAATTTTAATGTGCAGCCAGGTTTACAATAATCTAGATCAGTGGTCTCAAAATGTGGTCCCAGTTAGCAGCATAAATATCACCCGGGAACTAGTTAGAAATGTGATTTTTGAACTCCATCCCAGATCTGCCAAATCAGAATCTCCAAGGGCAATTTGCTCCAAGGGCAATGTAGGGCTCAATCACCTGCAGGTGATTCTAATGCATGCTCAAATGTAAGAGCCACTGCTCTAAAGACAAGACTATATTATCAAGCAGAGCAGATAATCTAATTACAAAAAATTCCTGGTTTTCAAAAACAAATTTTCGCATATATCCATCCCACAACCCCAAGTTGGCTTATAAAATCTTTAATGATCTTATTCCCACCTTTAAACTTCTGAGCTTCCAAAATATCAGAGTTTTCTCTATATCTGATATCTCTTTATATATAGTATAACTTTCCTGCGGAGAACATTAGAGATATTTTTAAATGGAGCTTCTTATGAAACATCAGCTACTTTTTTAAAAGATTTACATAGTTAGGCTGAGTCATAACTTCATAATCTTCTTAGACACATTATCCAACCTTTTCTAAATGAATCTTAATTACAGAATTTTTGTAACAATGTTTTGCTAAGCTTTTGACCTTCAGAAGAGCAAATTTGGAGAGTACAAGGAGACACAAGCCCCAACAAGATTTTCCACCATGTTTCTTTTCCTTCAGACAAGAGGAATAGTTCAAACAGCAAATGTTTATTAATTCCAACAGACTCTGCACAAAGCAGCACCCGCTTTCCTTTTCTCCCAGCTGATGCAGTTTTGTGAAAGAACATCTGGAGGGTTAGGACAGAGCCTCAGGGAATATGAGATTAGCAGGGCTCAGTGAGAACACCAGGGCATCTTGCAGGTCTACTGTTCCCAGGGGGCCTTTATTATAAATTAATCATCTGTTACAATAGCTCACTGGCACCCTTACCCTGGGAGCTGCCAAGTTGTCATCTGGAATGTTTTCAGCCCCTCTAAGGAAAATGAATTCTTGTCAATAGGTTTAGAGAACACACAGAACTTGTGATATGGGCTATGGACCTCATGAACCCTATCCCAAAACATAAATATTCTAAAGTGAAGACACACCATATGGTCTTTATATGAGCCATCATCTGAAGTCCTGTTGAAAATTGACCCAAGGCAGCCATTGTGAGAAAGGGAAGAGGAGCAGAGAAAGGG